AGCCACTGTGTCAATCCATCTCATTGAGGGTCTTCCTCTTTTTCACTGACCCTCTACTTTACCAAGCATGATGTCCTTCTCCAGGGACTGGTCCCTCCAGGTAACATGTCCAAAGCACCTGAGACAAAGTCTCATCACCCTCACTTCTAAGAAGCATTCTGGTTGTACTTCTTCCAAGACAGACTTGTTCGTTCTTCTCATAGACCATGGTATATTCATTCTTCGTCAACACCGTAATTCAAAGGCACTGATTCTTCTTTGGTCTTCCTTATTTATTGTCCAGCTTTTGCATGCATATGAGGTGATTGAAAATATCATGGCTTGGGTCAGGCATACTTTAGTCCTCAAAGTGACATCTTTGCTTTTCAACAAGTTACTTAGCTTTTAAGATTCAGTTTTCTCATTTGTGAAGATAGTAGTAACAATTTCACAGTGTTATGGTATTACATAAGATAGTGCATTTAAATGCTTAGCATGGAAACAAGTGCTTAATAAGCTCCTACTATTAATCGACTAGATAGCTCAGCCTGAAGCATACTGCCTAGCAAACAAATGTTTAGTGCAGCTCTGGCTCATTCATTCAGAAAAATACTTACTGAGAACCTACTATGCATCAATCTCTGTTTGAAGTTGTAGAAATATAGTTACAAACAACGCAAAGTCCCTGACCTCACAAAGTTCATCTTCCAATGAGGAGATAGACAATAAATTAAGCATACAAAGATTGTCTCAGGCAGTGGTAAGAGCTATAAAAACACAGAGAACAGTAAAGAGGTGCTGGCAATTTAGGTAGGATGGTCAGGGAGGGCCTCTCTGTAGAGGGATATGTCAACAAAGACTTGAATGTTGAGGAGTTGCTTGTACCACCAGAGGGAACAGCAAGAGTAAAGTCCCTAAAGCAAGACAAGCTCAGTGCATTGAGTGTGTTAGGTGGAGAATGGATGAATTTCCACAGGATATGAATCTCTCAGAGCATAATCTATTTCTTATTATAATTATTTACAAACATGTCTGTCTATACTATCAGTTCCTTGAGGGCTGAGGATCATGTTTTATATTTATTTGTAATCTGCACAAGTCACTCAATCAGCAAAAGATAATCAGCTTCAAGGACTTAACTTTTGCCTTTCCTGACTATTAAACAGTAAAATCCAAAAGGATTCTCGGCACAGAATAAGCACCATCTAATGAGACATCCCTGAGTAACTCCAGCCCACAGTGATCTTGTCCTTCCTTGAACTTATAAAACGTGTACTATCTGTCCTACGATTCCAGTAGTAGATTCTATTACTCTTATAACTGTTCCCTAATTGTTCAATTCTGGTTTTGTCTACTCCCTCTATGATGTCTTTGAGAAAGTTCCAAATTTTGCTTTACTTCAGTATGTTTCTTTACTTCTCTTCATAGGGACTTGCACAATGTGGACATATAATGAGAGCTAAAACACTAGAAGCACATTTTCCTGTAAAACTTTCCATCACCAAACCATTTTTCAACTTCAGAAAGCTTATTTTAACATCAACAATTAAAATCCACAATGCATATAAAAAACTGCCAGTGGTTTAGCTTTGCTGAAAATGCTCAACATACTCTATTAAGTCAGGAAGGCCTCTGTAGATGTCTTCATCATTGATGCTTTCTTCTGTCGGGAAGGGCCTAAAGGGGAAAAGAAACAACATGGGTGAATGAGCAACAACCATGCTGGGCATTCACTGGTCTGTAGATCAGTCACCATGTCTAACACAACATCTGGGGCTCCCTGCAAAGTGTCTTCCCTGAAGCTGTGTCTGGGGTCCCCCAGGGAGGTGCAGAACCTGCTACCCCAAGTCATCCACAGCAATTACCACTGCTCACCGCAGTCACATGTCCAATTAAAATTAAAAAAACTCGTTGCTGTCAAGTCATTTCCAACTTATAATGACCCTATAGGACAGAGCAGAACTGCTCCATAGGCTTTCCAAGGTTGCAATCTTTATAGAAGCAGACTGCCATAACCTTCTTCCATGGAGTGGGTGGTGGGTTTGAGCCACCGACCTTTCGGTTAGCAGCCGAGCACTTAACCACTGCCCCACCAGGCCTCCTCAGTGTGAAACTGGGGACATATAGATGTGCTTATCTCATCTCCCATCTGCCACATGCCTGCAGGGTCCCCGCAGAGCACCCAGTGCAGCTTCTCAATTCAGAGAACAACAAGCAGCTGTGCAGGCACCCTTGCCTTCAGCACTGCCTCTTTTCAGCTATGGGATCTGATCCGAATGACGAATCATTTGGGAACAATCATCCTTCCATGACTCAGTTCAAGAGGATGGATGAAAATTATCAGGAGACAAAAATACTGTGCCCTTTGTGTTTGATTATTGACTCTGATGTATTATTCTACTCAGACTTTAAGGTGTTTAAATTATACCTTTTAGTTTCATTTATTGGACAAATGAGTCAACCGAACCTCAGGGACAAAAAAGTTGTTTTCCTTGTCCCCTGGTGAAAGAAAATCACACTTTAATTTTTCTCCTAATCCTATCCATTGTCTTCCCTGTTTACCTCATGCCACTATATACTTTTTCATAACACCAACATAATCCCCTAAATTTATGCCTAGCAAAAATCACAGTAATTGTGATAGTGCCAAAAGTTTTACTCTTTCTTTACATGCAGCCAACATGTCATATGTTTTGTAAAAGCTTATAAGAGGATCCATCAAGATAATCACTAAATAAACCGAATCCTTTGCCTTCAAGTTGACTCTGACTCATAGCGACCTTATAAGACAGAGCAGATCTCCCCCATATGGTTTCCAAGGAACAGCTGGTAGATTTGAACTGCTGACCTTTTGATTAGCAGCCAAGCTCTTAACCACTGCACCACAAGTGATCCAATCTCTAAATAATTATACTGAAGAGCGGAGTTGCACATTAGTTTAAGTATAAATCTAATACTTAAGACATTTGAGGAACCTATTTTTCAAATAAATTAACGTGTGAGATGTGCCAATGTTTCAAAATTTTAAAAAATTAGACACATTTCATCATACTTATTAGGAAACTATGTTTTTCAAATTAAAATGTGTGAGATGTGCCAACATTTCAAAATTTTAAAAATGTAGACACATTTTATCATACTTACATAACACTACAAGTCCACTGTAGAAAATATAGATAAAAAGGAAAAAATAAAATAAACCCTTCTGGTGTATATCCAGAGCCCTGGTGGCACAGTGGTTAAGTGTTCAGCTGCTAACCAAAAGGTTGGCAGTTCAAATCTTCCAGCTGCTCACTGGAAACCCTATGGGGCAGTTCTACTCTGTCCTACAGGGTTGCTGAGTCGGAGTTGACTTGACAGCAACAGGCAGAACAGGATGTATATCCTTTCAGAATTAAAAATATATAAGTTCATAAAAATTAAGTCCTACTGTTTCAAAATCTGTTTACATATTACAACATAAAATATATTTTGGCATGGAAAGATATTTATGTAATGAAGAAGAGATTACAAAGTATGGAACATTTGTCTAGTCTGTAGCCTGCTTCTGTAGAAAAGCTGCCAAGTTCATGGCCCACTCTGAGAAAGAGTCTACAGGGTATCCTCCCTGAGGACACTGTGCTTTGTACCTAGTGACAGGGAGCCTGGCCAGTGCTGATTAGTCCTTTAAGCAGTACTTAGATCTTCTCCCTTAGAATGTGAATGTGAGCTAGACAGAGAAATGGAAGAAACAGAGGCAAAGGGTCACAGAGCTCCGTAACTGCTGGAGACAGGAGTATGAAACCCTGAAAAAACAAGGTAAAAAACAAAATCTTTTCCATTTCCATGAAGTCTGGCTGTGTGGCTAGTGAGACTTTATTACCTAATGATATTTATAATTCATCTTTATTGACAAACCTAACTTGAATATGTAATATCTGAAACAGAAACAGCCCAAAACAACATTTACATCGCCATGCTCACTGACTGCATAATACTCCATTGCACAGAGATGACATAATTTACTTAACCAACTTACTTCCAAGTTTTTCTTTTATTACCAAACTTTCAGTATACATTCTCATGCTCATATCATTTTAGACATGTGCTATTATTATTAAACAAACTCCTAAAAGCTATGAGTTATTGTTATAGCTTTTGATGGTAATAAAACACTATACAGGAAACAAATGTACTGTAACATCTTTCAAACCACTTATTTACTTAAGCATTTGTGTTTGTCTTTATGAATCATATGTACAGAAATGTTGGAGGACTTTAAAGAAAGCACCACATCAGTGACAGTCACTAGTGAATTGAGAACAATGTTTAACCCATGTGTAGTTACTCTATGAATGTATCTATGTATGTAACTCTATGAATAAATTCATACTTGCTCAATAATTTTCTAATATATAGCGGGCAGCTATATACCAAGCAATCTGCATGAGTGAGATGAGGTCCTAGTACTCATGGTGCTTTGCAAACAGTAACCATTTGATTAATAACCATTACATTGAACTGAATGGATCACATGAGAGGAACAGGTCCCACAGAGGAACAAACTTACCTGATTCCAGTGGCCAACGCTATAGGTGTTCGAGAAAGTCGCGATAGTGCTTCTATAACCTGAGAAAAGAGAAAAGTGTTAATTGGCCATGTATTTCAGAAAAGGTAAGTTATTTTTATTCTAAAACACTAGTTTCCCCCATCTAATACTAACAAAGGCAGCAGGAAGATAAATTTGCAGAAGCCAAAGAGATGCAGTGGGAGGAGCCTTGACTGGGAAGTATGTACACCTTGGTTACAGTTTTGCCCCCTCTTAACTTTAGCACTGTAAGCAGATTACTTAACCCAGGTGGGCTGCAGTTTCTTATCAGTAAAACAAGGAGTTAGACTGGGTTCAAAGTTCTCGCTCTCGTATCTTCTATGCCTACAAAATCTGAAAGATCCTATAAAGTTGCACTGCCCCACACAGTACCCACTAGCCACATGATGCTCTTTAAATTTAAAGTAATTACAATTGAATAAAACTAAAAATTCAGTTCCCTAGCTGCACTACCCACATTTCAAGTGCTCAACAGCCACATGTGGCTACTGGTTACCATACTGGACAGCACACACATCAAATATTTCCATCACCACAGAATGATGGGCAGCATTGCTGTACAGCCGTGTGGGCTCCTGAGCTTTACGACCATTAGCCGTGTAACCTTGGGTGAATTACTTAACTTCTCCGGGCTTCTGTTCCTTCATCTGGATAATGCCTATAATAACAGTCCCTACTTCATTGACTTGTAAGGATTAAATAAGTTAATACATGTAAAATATTTACGTGGTACCTATTTTGCATAATTATCAACTTTAAGATAATTGCCTGTTCTAATTCGGAGTGTTTTTCAGGAAAGAGATTTCCTAAATCATCCTTGATTCTCTGTTTCAAAGATTCCTCATGAAAATCTTCAGCAGCTGAACCTGAATTTGCCACGCCATGGTTTTAGCATCAATGCCTACCAGTTTTACCTTCCTTCAAACTTTTATACTGAAGATCATCTGCTCAAAGACTGAGGAAGCTAGTGACATAAAATACATTTTTTCTCAAAAGAAAAGGGTCCTCAAATGCTGAGAAGGGAGAGTGTTGACATGTCGTGGGGTGGTTAACCAATGTCATAAAAACAATACATGTTCTGACTTTTTAATGAGAAACTATTTGTTCTGTAAACCTTCATCTAAAGTACAATAAAAAAAAATGTATATATATATATAAATACATTTTTCTCATACAGCCTATTTCTATGATAACATATCTAATTTATCCTAACTCTCAAAATGAAATGGAACAAAATTTAAAGAACTTCTACTACCAGGTCTACTCAGAATGAGAAAAAAAAAAAGGTGGAGAAAGGCAAAAATCTACCTCTGACTTGAGGTAATCTTGTTAATTCCTCATTTCAATGATAGAAACATAAAAGTCAAGCCTCCAGGACTCTGCAGAAGCCTAGTAAGGGTATTAACCACACATACACTGCTCTCTTACTACTTTAAGTAGTACAGTGTTCTAATTAGAAACTCATGACTCTGGAGTAAGAATACCTGGTTCCACAAGTTTCTAGCTAAGCTTACCTTTATCTTACCTTTATAAGTCTCTGTAAAATGGGAATAATAATAGCTAACTACCTGCTTCATTAAATTATTTTAAGACTTACCCACTGCTGTTGAGTTGATTCCGACTCAGTCTGACCCTATGTGGCAGAGTAGAACTGCCCCATAGGGTTTCCAAGGCTGGAAATCTTATGGAAGCAGATTGCCACATCTTTCTGGTGGGTTCTAACTGCCCACCTTTTGGTTAGCAGCCAAGTGCCTAACCACTGCACAACCAGGGCCTCTTTTTTAAGACTTAAATGAGATAATGCCAATCAATGCTTATCTCAATAAAAATGTGAACTTTTATTGTTATACGAAATAAAATTATTTTTATTATCATATAGAAATAAAATTTAATTGCACGCTTTTATGCAATTTCTTCTGGTTTAACTTGTGTTGAACATTTGGTATCAAAGCAAGACACAGCCACCCAGATAAAACTTGACATCGATTAATTCACCATAATTAAGTGATAATAAAGTTTAACTATGTCTTCTTAATTCAGTGAGTCTGAAGATTGTGAATGAACAAATATTAACAAGTTTAACAAAATAAACTATTCAAAATAAAAATAACCACTTACTGAAATTCCAAAACTATGGATTATTGAGTGAAAAGTTTAGTGTCTGGAAGGTTCTGGAATAATCTGTGGAATAGTATTTAGACCCATGAATCAGCTGTATTGTATTGAATTTTATCCTGATTTGGGACTGTTATAAAGCTACTGGGTAAAATCTGCCTCATATTCTAAGTTACACTGTGATCCCAGCAGTGTCACTTATTTTATTATTGCTGTTTTATTATATACTTCAGTACTGATGTATTTTATTCCATGGGGATATTGTCTATAATAATTATGATGTATCTACCCAATAAGAATATATTTTCTGTTCCTTGCCCCGCAAAATAACCAAAAACTATTCATACCCTCTCTCCAAAACTACAGCAGAGCTCAGCTTTCATATAAATGTCCACCAGAGGGAGCCGGACGATAGTGTGCTACGTTCGTCCTAAATTCAATGTGTTTATGAACTACAATCTTGAAAATCAATGAGCTGAAACTAACTGTTATTATTTATTTTACAAGGGTTATTTACTACTATTCAGTAATGAAAAACAAATATAAGTATACAAATTCTGCGGATGAAGAGGGTGGATGGATAACACGTAGCATCTCTGAAAGTGAATCCCTCTGAGGACTACCACTCAATTTTGGTCTATCTTAATGTACGAGTCCATCCATTAACTCTGGGTTTAGCCAAAGAAAATAAAGACTGTTTAGTCAATGTGGTGTTTTTAAAACAATGTTTACTCTATAAAGGCGGAGTGTATCCGGATTTGGAATAGACAAGTATACAAATTAATGCCAGATTCCCAAGTCCTCTGTGTGCAGATTCTGATCGGACATTAGAAACATTCATTCAGGAACATTTAAAAAAGAAATGATTTCCAGAGAATCTAAGGAGACTACTTTCCATGCAATATATTAATTTCCAAACTGTTACCTCAAAATAATATGAAATCATGGACATTAACTCCCAGAAAGGGGGCAGAGAGAATAAACAGAATGTTTGCAAAGTAACAGGCCACCAAACAACTATACTAAATTCCTGTCATGGAACTCTTTCCTTTACGTACTTCAGTGGGTAAGAGGAATAGCATCTGTAAAGAAATGAAAAGAATTCTGGATAGAGTAATCTATGAGGGAGGCCTGGTTTCAATTCCTGGCCGATGCACCTCATGCACGGCCACCACCCACCTGTCCGTGGATGCTTTCATGCTGCTGTGATGTTGAATAGGTTTCAGTGGAACTTTCAGACTAAGATGGACTAGGAAGAAAGGCCTAGGGATCTACTTCCGGAAATCAGTCAATGAAAACCCTATGAATCACAGTGATAATAATAATAATCTGCAACCGATCATGAGGATGGAGCAGGACTGGGCAGTGTTTCATTTCATGGTGTATGGGGTACCCATGAGTTGGGGCCAACTTGACGGCAGTGAAACAACATGGGAGAAGACAGCAGATAAGGTGGAGAGGTGGGCAAGGGCTTCTGCACGCCAGCTTTAGAAGGTGGATTATATTCACAGTGGACTGATCCACTGTGGAGGTTGAGGGAAGAACTCAGGATACTTGGGAAAGTTGGTAAAACACTTGAAGGCAGTCAGCTCCAAAACCGTCGGCTAGAAAGCCTCTAGCGTGCTCCTGAGCAGAAAGCTCTCCTTCTGTGTCGCTCTACATGCCCGATCAGGTACGTCCTGAGCACGGCAAGGCTGCCCCTGCCTGCAGATAGCCTTCTCTGACCGTCTCCCACAGTCTGGGTCCTCTGTGTCCTCATAGGGCCTGGAACATTAACTCTAATCTAGATTCTATCACCTCATGAAAAATAAAATGTTACTGGCTTTTAAAAATGTTTCAAAAGAATACATGTTTATCGTGGCAAACTGAAATAATTTAGCAGTACAGACAAGTTGCCTCTTCCCTCACCTTCTGCCCTGAGAGAACCATAGCTGAGAATCTGGTGTGAACCTTGCAGAATTTTTCTTTTTCCCTTTTATTATTATTATTTTAAGCAATGGATTCATATTATACAAGTTTTTCGACACAATGCTTTTCTCAGTTAACAATACAGCACAAAGAATGTGTCAATACAACACACATTAAAAACCACGACCAAACCTGTTGCCGTTGAATCAACTCTGACTCATGGCAACCCCAATGTGTTACGGAGTGGAATAGCTCCACAGGGTTTTCTTGGCTGTAATCTTTATGGAAGATCGCCAGGCCTTTCTTTTGCTGACTACTGGGTGGGTTCAAGCTGCCAGCCTTTAGCTTAGCCAAGCACAGTTTGTGTCAACCAGAGACATCACTACATATAGATGTAACTTTATTCATCTTAATGATTGTGTAACATTGCAGTGTACGTATGTAACATAATGATTTGGTCATCCTCCTAGCAATGAACCCTCCCAATATTCTGCTACTAGAACAATGACACAGTTAACCTCCTTGCCAAATCTCTTCAATTGTGTATGGGTATTTCTATAGGAAAGAGCCTTAGATGGGACCACCAGGTCAAAAGGCATGACCTTTGTTCTTCAAAAAGTCTGCATGAATTTATACACCTCTGAAGAGACCATAATAAGTCATTCTATTAGTCTGTTCACTTGTCTGTCTCTTCTACCTAACAGTAAAAATACCTTAAGGGCAGGAAATCATATCACCTCTCCACTGTTATATTCCCATTACCTAGTTCACAGCCAGGCTCACTTAACACAAAAATATTTCATTGGTCAAACAAATGAATGAGTAATACTTACCTTGCAAAACTGTTATGAGGATTAGAGATAATATGTGTAAAGATACATAAAGGGCTTAGCCTAGCACAAGTGGGAAATAGATAAATAATTGAAGAAGGAACCCATTATGAAAATTAAATACTAAGTACAAGAAAGAGTTGCCTGTCTTCTCAAACCTAGAGCCA